TTGTGTGGAAAATGGTGTATGCAAGGTTTTTGTGCGTACGCACTGTTGATCAGGGGCACAGTAGGTAGGAAACTGCACACCCCCACACATGTTTCTCGCACGCCCCATATGATGACCGCCACATTGAATCCAGACAACTGGATATGTGTGCCTGGGATTGCTGTGGTGGAAAGAACTTCCATTTCAGACTTCTGCCATATTCCTATAGATGGAGTTCCATATAAAGCGTTGGTGGACACAGGGTGAACAGTGACAGTGGTTCAACTGGAGGTGGTGCCACCGAGAGCCCAGCTAGAGGTAATAGCTTTTGAGCTTTGCATTTGACTGGGGAGTTAGCGCCAATGCAGGGAAGGGGTAACCTGTTACTCAGAGTTGGGGGTCAGGAGGTCACACATCCTGTCTGGGTGGCTAATGTTCAGGATAAATGTATTCTCAGGACGGATTTTTTAAGGGCACATGAGAGCCACACTTAAACTAGGTTTATGGTCGACGCATCACGCCAGACGCGAGGCTGTGCACACCATAAGTGACGCAATACGACTGTCTCCGCCCCTGTGTGTTGGCTGCATGTGGTGTCCTGGTGCGAGGTTGTGCACCTCTGAATTTTTGTATCTTTGCAAAGGCTGCGTGCGCCATGCACCATTCAAATAGTCTGTTCGTCTGTCAAGCTTTTGCTCTCCTACTTACAGCATTTTCACAAGTTTTAAAGTGTACTTCCATGTGTCATTTTGGAGAAATCTACAACAGCATAAACGCCAAGTATAAACACCTCCWCTACCYGCGAGGGWGCYCACTKTCAAYCATGACTATAACTCAGCCTTAAGGTTTGGGGATAATGACATTGTTATGAGGCCTCAGGACGTTTGGGGTGAGGCAGAACTTGCTGTAATGCCCAGAAGATGCTGTGCGCATAGGTTCTCCCCTCAGATGCTACTGAGTGTGGTGTTTCCCAGACCGAATGCGGCACGGGGCGGTAATTCACCCACCTGTTGGGACCAACGGTGCGGACACAGCCTGTACACTTGAGAGCCAGAGAAAGAGGATGGAGGTACTACAAGGGATCCTGCAGAGGAGTTCAGAGGATCTGGATGACAAACAGAAGGGGGTGCTCTGGGGTCTCTAAAGAGAATTTCAGGACTGCTTCTCCTGTGATGAAGATGAGCTGGGGTGTACGTCTCTGGTGCAACACTCCATTGACACAGGGGATGCGGAGCCCATACGTCAATGTCCACGGCACCTTCCCCTGAGTCGACAGGAGGCAGCGGATCAGGAGCTGGAGAAAATGCAGTGGATGGGCATCACTGCAGTGGCTGACAATATTTAAAGGACCAAAATTATGTGTTTCTCAGGCTTATATTTAAATACTATACCATAATAAAAAGTATATATGCCACCTTTAGCTGTTGTTAAAATTCTGTTTTTATGTTTAAATAGAAAATAAACTTATCTTCTCATCACTTCCTCTTCTAAATGCCTTGAAATTGGCTTCTGTCTCTTTAAGAACTTTAAGGGCTCGTGCATGCGCAGGGGGCGGGTTGCGCGTGCACTATGATGCAGTTTACTTGGCATCTGAAAAAAAATTTCCTCAAAGGTATTTTTAATCTGAAAAGAGCTTCACTGAGTGAGAACTAATGTTGAGAGCTCAGCAGACAGTTAGGTTTCACTTTCAGTTTCATCCGAGAGCCTGCAGGAGTCATGGGTGGGATGTGTGGGGAGGGGGGAGGGGGTGCGCTCTGCCATGAGGAAGTTCGGTTTAAAGACACGTCCCAGAGGCGTTTCTGGTACCAAAAGGCGTTTCTGGTCCCCACCTGTCGTTTTGCTCCTCAGCATGACTTCCTAAAAACGCTGCAGGATTTCTCAAACATGAATGAATGAGTCAGAGCAAGGCTTTGGGCATGTTTTTTATGAGAGTATAACATTATAACATGATATAAAACTCAAAAGAGTTGATTTTACATGATATTGCCCCTTTAAAGAACCAGAGGGACAACTGGCAGCTACACGGCTCCAATCCCATTCTTTGAGGAGTCCGTGGATATTTTTGTTCTTTCTGATGGGTATACCAGCACTGGTTCAGTGGTGAGTATAGTTTTTAACTATCCCACTCTTTTTCATGATTATCTGTCCATTTGAATACACATTCATCATGCAACAGTTGTCTCAGATGCAAAGTTTTTTGAGACAGACTTGGAATGAATTTGCCAATAAAGTTGATCATCCCCATCATTCTCAATACTCCTTTTATATCTTCTGGACATGACATCTCCAGTATTGCTTTAACCTTATCTTTATCTGGCTCAACACTAGATGTAGACAACGTATCTCCCAAAAACGGATTTCTGTAACTCCAAATTGACATTTAGCTTTGTTCAACTTTAGTGGATGCCCTGCAGCACTTTGTTTAGCCTCTCATTATGCTGCTGACGTGTAGACCCCTCAACTACGTCATCCACATACACCTGGACTCCATCAATGCCTTCTATTATGTGCTCCATGGTTCTGTGAAAGATCTCAGGAGCTGAAGTGATTCCAAAAGGCATCCTCTGAAAAGAACTAGTGAAAAACATTCCCACAGCATAATGCTTCCAACACTGTGCTTCACTGTGGGGATGGTGTTGGAGAGGTGATGAGCGTAGCCTGGTTTCTTCCAGACGTATTGTTTGGAACTGACGTCAACAGTTCTGTTGTGATTTCATCAGGACAGACGATCTTGTTCCTCACAGTCTGCACTAAGACTCTTTAATCAACCCTCTATCTGTCTTAAAAACCAGACTGCTTTAAGCTGATCTGAAGTTTGGGTTGTCCTTCGGGTTCTTAGTCCCATCTCTGAAACGCAGAGTGACTACATTTTCTGTTACCTCTCACTAAGATCTGTCTCCCTTTGTGGAATAAGTGTAGCTACCAAACCAGCTCCTGGAAGACTCAGGTTGTCACAAACTTCTTTCATGTGAGATTTATTGAGAGCACTGAGTTCTTGGGAACCTTCAGTGCAGTGAAATGATTTCACAGCCCTCCTCAGATCTGTGCTTCACAACAATCCTATCTCTGAAATCTGCAGGCAGCTCCTTTAACCTCACAGCTTTGTTTTGTCAGCGAGCCGTGTGTGTCTTTCTAAATCATGTCCATCAAATAAATTCACAAGATGTAGCAAAACAACAACAAAGATCATTAAAAACTGGAGGAACCTGAGCCAATTCTTAAGTTTTGTTGTAAAAGTTCTTAATATTTGTAGAAATGTAAATGTCTTTATTTTCAATAAATGCACACAATTATACAAAACAAACATGATTTAATTTGGATTTTGTGGAGCACTGAATCAATGAGACAACTCATTAAATGGAAAAACTGGCATTGCATAAGGCTGCAACACAGCAATAATGCAAAAGTCAAGTGAGCCTGAAGGGTCTCTGAACCCACCGCACAGCCAGTATTAGGGGTGTAGGAAAAATATCGATACGATATTTCATTTTCCGATACGGTGTCAATTTTCTAAAGTCCTGTATTGATTTTTTATTAAAGTTTAAAATGTCAACTTTCCTGCCAATGGTTCATTTTTATGTTGTGGTTCAGCCTCTGACCACTAGTTGGCAGCAGTGAGCCAGCCATTTGGCTCCTCTACTACTAAGGAGCCAGAGAGTAACGGTAGCATTAGCATGGTGAGTAAACATTAGCTTCATGCTCCGATAGCTGAATCTGAGGGAGAAAAGATCGACACCCTCTGRCTTCTAAGCTGAGGTAAGGTTACGAAGAGTTACTTATTTGTCAGAATGTCTGTATTTTAAGCCAAATTGAAGTGTCTCGTCCGGGGCGCTCTTTTTCTGACTGTAGTCAGCTGTCATGTTACAGAAGGTAGGCAGGCAGGCGTCTAGCGCCCTGAGCTTAGGGGGTGTTGTGTGAAATTCAGTTCCCCTGTGAAAATCTGTCCCCCCCTGTGTCTGGAGGGCACACTGCAGCCAGAGGCAGATCCAACCATTTTCARAGCACTTCTGATGAATTTCTTGGTAAAAGGACTCACATAATCTTGTCAAGGTAAAGTTCAGTTTAATCATCAGCTGCTGTAAAAAAATCATCTCTAACATGAATAAATAAATAAACATGGCCTTTTTTAAATCACAGAATGAGTCCTTATCAGTCCTGTTCCTACTTTTCTCATGTTCTCTTTAGCCTCACTGTTTATCAGTCAGCCATCAAACACTGTCTTCCAAAACATTGTTTATTTATATAAACCATGTGTATACTATATATTACTATATATATTTATAATTTTTTATTGCTGATACAAGAACCAAATATTTCAGTTGTTTAAAATAATCTGTTCCCCCTCTGTAACATGGGAACAAAATAATTTACCTCCAWGTCTTTAACTGTGTTAATTACTCTCATCATAAACAACAAATCCTGAAGATTTGGGAAAATTTGCTCTTTATTGGCCAAAGTTACCTGGATGGAACCAAATATTATTTAGGCTTGTAAGCTACAGTTTGCACTGTTTCAATTAAAGAAAACTAATTGTCTCACCGCATCTTTGATTAATTTTGTCCAGCTGTAGACTAGGTCTCTGTCCAATCAGAGCAGGTATTGTGTAGTTGGTGCTTTTAGTCAGTTTTCAGTTCAATTAATTCAATACAAGTCTTTGGAACAGTCACAAAATGTCACCAAAATCACTCTGTCCCTGTAAAATCATTCAGAAAATCAAATCGTATCGAATCGTATCATTTGCTAAATATCGTGATATATATCGTATCATGAGCAGAATATTGAATATCATATCAGAATATCGAATATCGTATCGTGAGATTAGTGTATCGCTACAGCCCTAGCCAGTATCTCTGTATTTTCTGCATGTAGTCTCATGAGCTTGGCTGAATTGTTTGTTTCTGCTGCTTCAATGAATTATGGGTAGCTAGAAACATTTCTTTGCTCAGTTCTGCCAAACATCTGCTATATTTGTCATGCTTTGTGTGAAAGACCCATTAAAAGAACTGTTTCCAGCACATTACCTGCATACTCTGGGTCCACATGAGGAGGGTAGAAGCGAAAGTTGATGAAGAAAGGGATTGGCATTCCATATTTGAACCACTCTACCACGTAGGGCTGTCCATTCAGTGGGTGGGACACATCGCATCCCAAGATGACACTTTCTCCTGCGCGTGCCGTCACAAACTGGGGCTCCTCTCGCACTCCGTGGGCACCTGAGGAGAAGTGTGTACAGGTTAACCAAAACTCACTCCTTACTTCCTACTTTAAATGCAACCAGTTTCTTGCACAATATACACTTCAATTTAACGTTCAATCTTAACAAACTTAAGCTCAAATTAGTCAGCATACAACATAATGACAGCAGAAACTAAATTAAAGTTAAACCTTTTTATAGCTACTAAATAAAAGCCTTGATTCAGCAAGATTGTTTCAATAAATATTTAAAGTATTATTTAAAGAACATTGTTCTAACTAAAACCAATCTAAAGTAATGCCACTGATGGACGATAGAAATCACAAAACCCAAAGTTGTTTGTCTTTCTAAGTAAACCTGTCACTTCACTTCATTATTATATTTACAGGATTTCAGCTCATGTAGTCATTTAATAGTATATTGTTTATATTTACTGAATTACATTTATCCCAGTACTTACTTCTCAGCATGGTTTTAAATATAACTATACTATAGTTTAGCACATCAAACAGCCACAAACGTTGTTGCAAAAACAGCAAAGAACTAAATATTGCAGATGATGAACTACACCCGTAGCAACACTGACTCTTACAGAGAGAAGTTCATTATTTTGGGGGTAGAGCTAGGTGGTATACAGTTTCATACCAAAAAACATTTTTTCATTATTACATATTAATTTTCAGGATACCGGCATGTTGGTTTAAATTGCCTGAAAATGTTCAGAACGTTACATTGCACCTGCCAGTAAACTGCTTCATGGAGACGCTTTTCCATGCAGCACCGCTGAATATGCTTGCAAAAACTAGCAGCATACAGGAACTAACAGCACACAGGACAGGTTAGAGTCATTGGCTGTGTCTCCATARATGCCTGTTGGTACCAGAAACGCCCCTGGGATGTGTCATTAAGCCGAACTTCCTCATGGTAGAGCACACCCCTACCCTCCTCCCCACACATCCCGCCCATGACTCCTGCAGGCTCTCGGGTGAAATTGAAAGTGAAACTTAACTGTCTGCTGAGCTCTCAACATTAGTTCTCACTCAGTGAAGCTCTTTTCAGATTAAAAATACCTTTGAGGAAATGTATTTTCAGATGCCAAGAAAACTGCAGCATAGTGCACGCGCAAACCCCACCGCCACCACCACCACCACCGAATGGGACGGAACAGAAGC